GACGCAATTTTACAGTTTTAAGTACCATAATAAAATCGCCATCATTCTCGTTGCCTGATTTTGATTGTTGAGCAGTTAACACTCGTCTTGAACTACCATTTCGATCTCGATTATCATATAACCATGTTCGCAGCATTGATAGGTAATTTTCACATGTGGTCTAACACCTCGTCTAGCTAAATTCGCTACGCTGTGTATAAGAACGTAGACGAGGTGGCCGAGTGGTTAAGGTGATGGACTGCTAATCCATTGTGCTCTGCACGCGTCGGTTCGAATCCCATCCTCGTCGACGTGATTCTACAGTTTTAAGTACTATTATGAAATTACCATCATTCTCTTGCAGATTTTGATTGCTGAGCAGTTAACACTCGTCTTGAATTACAATTTCGATCTCGATTATCATATAACCATGTTCGCAGCATTGATAAGGAATTTTCACATGTGGTCTAACACCTGGCCTACCTAAATTCGTTACGCTGTCCATAAATACGTAGACGAGGTGGCTGAGTGGTTAAGGCGATGTACTGCTAATCCATTGTGCTCTGCACGCGTGGGTTCGAATCCCATCCTCGTCGACCCAATTTCTACAGTTTTAAGTACGATAATAAAATCGCCATCACGCTCGTTGCCAGATTTCGATTGTTGAGCAGTTGACACTCATCTTGAATTAACATTTCTATCTCGATTATCATATATCCATGTTCGCAGCATTGGTAAGTAATTTTCACATGTGGTCTAAAACCTGGCCTAGCTAAATTCGTTACGCTGTCCATAATTACGTAGAGGAGGTGGCCGAGTGGTTAAGGCGATGGACTGCTAATCCATTGTGTTCTGCACGCGTTGGCTCGAATCCCATCCTCGTCGACGTGATTCTACACTTTAAGTTCTATTATGAAATTACCATCATGCTTTTGCATATTTTGAATGTTGAGTAGATAACACTCATCTTGAATTACCACTTCGATCTCGATTAGCATATAATCATGTTCGCAGCATTGGTAAGTAATTTTCACATGTGGTCTAACACCTCGTCTAGCTAAATTCGTTACGCTGTGCATAAGTACGTAGACGAGGTGGCAGAGTGGTTAAGGCGATGGACTGCTAATCCATTGTGCTTTGTACGCGTGGGCTCGAATCCCATCCTCGTCGACGCAATTTCTACAGTTTTAAGTACCATAATAAAATCGCCATCATTCTCGTTGCCTGATTTTGATTGTTGAGCAGTTAACACTCGTCTTGAATTACCATTTCTATCTCGATTATCATATAACCATGTTCGCAGCATTGATAAGTAATTTTCACATGTGGTCTAACACCTCGTCTAGCTAAATTCGTTACACTGTCAATAAGTACGTAGACGAGGTGGCCGAGTGGTTAAGGCGATTGACTGCTAATCCTTTGTGCTCTGCACCCGTGGTTTCGAATCCATCCTCGTTGACCTGATTCTACACTTTTAAGTTCCATTATGAAATTACCATCATGCTTTTGCATGTTTTGAATGTTGAGTAGATAACACTCATCTTGAATTACCATTTCGATCTCGATTATCATATAACCATGTTCGCAGCATTGATAAGTAATTTTCACATGTGGTCTAACACCATTACCATCATGCTTTTGCATATTTTGAATGTTGAGTAGATAACACTCATCTTGAATTACCACTTCGATCTCGATTAGCATATAATCATGTTCGCAGCATTGGTAAGTAATTTTCACATGTGGTCTAACACCTCGTCTAGCTAAATTCGCTACGCTGTGTATAAGAACGTAGACGAGGTGGCCGAGTGGTTAAGGTGATGGACTGCTAATCCATTGTGCTCTGCACGCGTCGGTTCGAATCCCATCCTCGTCGACGTGATTCTACAGTTTTAAGTACTATTATGAAATTACCATCATTCTCTTGCAGATTTTGATTGCTGAGCAGTTAACACTCGTCTTGAATTACAATTTCGATCTCGATTATCATATAACCATGTTCGCAGCATTGATAAGTAATTTTCACATGTGGTCTAACACCTCGTCTAGCAAAATTCGTTACGCTGTGCATAAGTACGTAGACGAGGTGGCCGAGTGGTTAAGGCGATGGATTGCTAATCCATTGTCCTCTGCATGCGTGGGTTCGAATCCCATACTCGTCGACGCAATTTCTACAGTTTTAAGTACGATAATAAAATCGCCATCACGCTCGTTGCCAGATTTCGATTGTTGAGCAGTTAACACTCATCTTGAATTAACATTTCTATCTCGATTATCATATAACCATGTTCGCAGCATTGGTAAGTAATTTTCACATGTGGTCTAACACCTGGCCTAGCTAAATTCGTTACGCTGTCCATAATTACGTAAAGGAGGTGGCCGAGTGGTTAAGGCGATGGACTGCTAATCCATTGTGTTCTGCACGCGTTGGCTCGAATCCCATCCTCGTCGTCGTGATTCTACACTTTAAGTTCTATTATGAAATTACCATCATGCTTTTGCATATTTTGAATGTTGAGTAGATAACACTCATCTTGAATTACCACTTCGATCTCGATTAGCATATAATCATGTTCGCAGCATTAGTAAGTAATTTTCACATGTGGTCTAACACCTCGTCTAGCTAAATTCGTTACGCTGTGCATAAGAACGTAGACGAGGTGGCCGAGTGGTTAAGGCGATGGATTGCTAATCCATTGCGCTTTGCACGCGTGGGTTCGAATCCCATCCTCGTCGACGCAATTTCTACAATTTTAAGTACTATAATAAAATCGCCATCATGCTCTTGCCTGATTTTGATTGTTGAGCAGTTAACACTCATCTTGAATTACCACTTCGATCTCGATTTAGCATATAATCATGTTCGCAGCATTGGGTAAGTAATTTTCACATGTGGTCTAACACCTCGTCTAGCTAAATTTCGTTATGCTGTGCATAAGTACGTAGACGAGTGGCCGAGTGGTTAAGGCGATGGACTGCTAATCCATTGTGCTTTGCACGCGTGCGTTCGAATCCCATCCTCGTCGACGCAATTTCTACAGTTTTAAGTACCATAATAAAATCGCCATCATTCTCGTTGCCTGATTTTGATTGTTGAGCAGTTAACACTCGTCTTGAATTACCATTTCGATCTCGATTATCATATAACCATGTTCGCAGCATTGATAGGTAATTTTCACATGTGGTCTAACACCTGGCCTAGCTAAATTCGTTACGCTGTCCATAAGTACGTAGACGAGGTGGCCGAGTGGTTAAGGCGATGGACAGCTAATCCATTGTGCTTTGCACGCGTGGGTTCGAATCCCATCCTCGTCAACGTGATTCTACAGTTTTAAGTACCATTATGAAATTACCATCATGCTTTTGCAGATTTTGATTGTTGAGTAGATAACACTCGTCTTGAATTACCATTTCGATCTCGATTATCATATAACCATGTTCGCAGCATTGGTAAGTAATTTTCACATGTGGTCTAACACCTCGTCTAGCTAAATTCGTTACGCTGTGCATAAGTACGTAGACGAGGTGGCCGAGTGGTTAAGGCGATGGACTGCTAATCCATTGTGCTCTGCACGCGTCGGTTCGAATCCCATCCTCGTCGACGCAATTTCTACAGTTTTAAGTCCCATAATAGAATCGCCATCATGCTCGTTGCCTGATTTTGATTGTTGAGCAGTTAACACTCGTCTTGAATTACTATTTCGATCTCGATTATCATATAACCATGTTCGCAGCATTGATAAGTAATTTTCACATGTGGTCTAACACCTGGCCTAGCTAAATTCGTTACGCTGTCCATCAGTACGTAGACGAGGTGGCCGAGTGGTTAAGGCGATGGACTGCTAATCCATTGTGCTCTGCACGGTCGGGCTTCTAATCCCATCCTCGTCGACGTAATTTCTACAGTTTTAAGTACCATAATAAAATTGCCATCATGCCCGTTGCCAGATTTTGATTGTTGAGCAGTTTACACTCGTCTTGATTTACCATTTCTATCTCAATTATCATATAACCATGTTCGCAGCATTGATAAGTAATTTTCACATGTGGTCTAACACCTGGCCTAGCTAAATTCGTTACGCTGTCAATAAGTACGTAGACGAGGTGGCCGAGTGGTTAAGGCGATGGACTGCTAATCCATTGTGCTCTGCACGTGTGGCTTCTAATCCCATCCTCGTCGACGTAATTTCTACAGTTTTAAGTACCATAATAAAATTGCCATCATGCCCGTTGCCAGATTTTGATTGTTGAGCAGTTTACACTCGTCTTGATTTACCATTTCTATCTCAATTATCATATAACCATGTTCGCAGCATTGATAAGTAATTTTCACATGTGGTATAACACCTGGCCTACCTAAATTCGTTACGCTGTCCATAAATACGTAGAGGAGGTGGCCGAGTGGTTAAGGCGATGGACTACTAATCCATTGTGTTCTGCACGCGTTGGCTCGAATCCCATCCTCGTCGACGTGATTCTACACTTTTAAGTTCTATTATGAAATTACCATCATGCTTTTGCATATTTTGAATGTTGAGTAGATAACACTCATCTTGAATTACCACTTCGATCTCGATTAGCATATAATCATGTTCGCAGCATTGGTAAGTAATTTTCACATGTGGTCTAACACCTCGTCTAGCTAAATTCGTTACGCTGTGCATAAGAACGTAGACGAGGTGGCCGAGTGGTTAAGGTGATGGACTGCTAATCCATTGTGCTCTGCACGCGTCGTTCGAATCCCATCCTCGTCGACGTGTTTCTACAGTTTTAAGTACTATTATGAAATTACCATCATTCTCTTGCAGATTTTGATTGCTGAGCAGTTAACACTCGTCTTGAATTACAATTTCGATCTCGGTTATCATATAACCATGTTCGCAGCATTGATAAGTAATTTTCACATGTGGTCTAACACCTGGCCTATCTAAATTCGTTACGCTGTCCATAAATACGTAGAGGAGGTGGCCGAGTGGTTAAGGCGATGGACTGCTAATCCACTGTGTTCTGCACGCGTTGGCTCGAATCCCATCCTCGTCGACGTGATTCTACACTTTTAAGTTCTATTATGAAATTACCATCATGCTTTTGCATATTTTGAATGTTGAGTAGATAACACTCATCTTGAATTACCACTTCGATCTCGATTAGCATATAATCATGTTCGCAGCATTGGTAAGTAATTTTCACATGTGGTCTAACACCTCGTCTAGCTAAATTCGTTACGCTGTGCATAAGAACGTAGACGAGGTGGCCGAGTGGTTAAGGCGATGGACTGCTAATCCATTGTGCTCTGCACGCGTGGCTTCGAATCCAATCCTCGTCGACGTGATTCTACAGTTTTAAGTACTATTATGAAATTACCATCATTCTCTTGCAGATTTTGATTGCTGAGCAGTTAACACTCGTCTTGAATTACAATTTCGATCTCGGTTATCATATAACCATGTTCGCAGCATTGATAAGTAATTTTCACATGTGGTCTAACACCTGGCCTACCTAAATTCGTTACGCTGTCCATAAATACGTAGAGGAGGTGGCCGAGTGGTTAAGGCGATGGACTGCTAATCCATTGTGTTCTGCACGCGTTGGCTCGAATGCCATCCTCGTCGACGTGATTCTACACTTTTAAGTTCTATTATGAAATTACCATCATGCTTTTGCATATTTTGAATGTTGAGTAGATAACACTCATCTTGAATTACCACTTCGATCTCGATTAGCATATAATAATGTTCGCAGCATTGGTAAGTAATTTTCACATGTGGTCTAACACCTCGTCTAGCTAAATTCGTTACGCTGTGCATAAGTACGTAGACGAGGTGGCCGAGTGGTTAAGGCGATGGACTGCTAATCCATTGTGCTTTGCACACGTGGGTTCGAATCCCATCCTCGTCGACGCAATTTCTACAGTTTTAAGTACGATAATAAAATCGCCATCACGCTCGTTGCCAGATTTCGATTGTTGAGCAGTTAACACTCGTCTTGAATTACCATTTTTATCTCGATTATCCTATAACCATGTTCGCAGCATTGGTAAGTAATTTTCACATGTGGTCTAACACCTGGCCTAGCTAAATTCGTTACACTGTCCATAAGTACGTAGACGAGGTGGCCGAGTGGTTAAGGCGATGGACTGCTAATCCATTGTGCTCTGCACGCGTTGGCTCGAATCCCATCCTCGTCGACGTGATTCTACACTTTTAAGTTCTATTATGAAATTACCATCATGCTTTTGCATATTTTGAATGTTGAGTAGATAACACTCATCTTGAATTACCATTTCTATCTCGATTATCATATAACCATGTTCGCAGCATTGGTAAGTAATTTTCACATGTGGTCTAACACCTGGCCTAGCTAAATTCGTTACACTGTCCATAAGTACGTAGA